AAATGTCAATTTTCATTCTTAGACTTTTAATTTTAAATAATTTTAATTCTTAAATTATTTTATATATTTTTTAATCCTCAATTTTAAAAAAATACATATTTTTTCCCTTACATCAATTAAATCACATGTGGACGGTTAACTCAATCTAAAAATAAAATCTTTTTTTATGAAATGAAAATGATATCATATAATCAACTTACATGATCAAAAAACAATTCTTCATGATATAAAAAAGATAATATAACAAATTAAAATAACTTTATTTTTAATTTTTTTTTGTCCAACCAATCATAATAAGACATATGACCTTATTTTTAATTAAAATCTCATTTTATAATTTTTTATGCTTTTCCACGAATGGATGTCGAATCAAAGTCTTTGTCTTTAATTTTGATACTGGGTAATGTGTCTTTTGCAAAATCCAAACTATATATTGCATTTGAGCACGAGTACCGTCAAGGGATATGTACGATATGTACTGGATATCTTAATACATTGCATTTTGTATTGCATACGTACGGAGAAGGGTTGACATGTTAATCATGGCTTAGTACATATGGACATGAATACTTCTTTTATTTAATTTAATAATAAATTTAATTTCGTCTTTTAAAAATTTTAAATAATTAATTTTTTTATTAATTTAAAATTTATAATATTAAATATATCTATTTATTTAATAACAAATAAAAATTAAATTAAAAAATTATTTTTATATTATTGCTTTTTAATTTATTTAGACAAATTAAAATCACTAATAATTTTTATTGAATTTAAAAATAATGACATGATATTTACTTTAAAAATAACTAAAAAATGGTTTGAACCGAAAGAGTATCATCTTCATTAAATCTGCTCGTTGATGAAAAAATAGGAAAAAAGATCTGTTTGTTTTTACAACAGACTTAACCTTTGCATAGACGGTGTTACAAGGTCCGTTAATAAAGGGACAATAATTGACTTTTTATTCAAAGTTTTGAGGTTCTTGATGATTCTTTTTGTAATAAAAGGATGACAGTGAGCCTTTAATTATACCAAGTTGAACTTTTTTAAGTTGTGAGTTTAGGGTATAGGTTAAAAGTATTAAAAAATATAAAAATTGAT